ACAGTGGATGGCCAGACCTGAGGTGTTCGCTAGAGGGTTAGAATACAAAGCAGAGAGAAATCTATGAAAGTGTACCAAAATAGCAGAGGAACAGAGTGGAAACGGTGATTAGATCCTCTCATCCCTGCTCCAAAGTAATGGAATTTCCAGGAAGAGAAACCTGAAAAGATATCAGAGTTCCTGAGAATTAGAGGGTGAGAGCTTCCAGTGTTACACAGGTAGACCCAGAGTGTGGGTCCATTAGGCCCTCAGGCTCACATTGACAGTCCCTCATCAGGCCCATGCTAGCTATACTTCAGAGTGAGTGCATAACTTTGCTATGAATAGGAAGTAGGCTGTCTCTTTGCTGAGAAACCGAGCAAGTGTCATTGTTTGGAAGCGAATAGACCCTGGTGTGAGGGAGAATGGGACGGCAGTGTCTGGGAGGGGCTGAATCAGGTCATCACCATCTATCACCAGGATTAGATTCAGAAGCTTACAGAGCTGCTCCGTGGGGCTTGGGAAAGAGCACAGAGACAGGTATGGAGCAGATGTTAGGTTTTTGGAATGGGCTGTAATGAGCATATGGGGGACCCTATCCCTTTCTTTTGAGACTGATCACCCTCACATAGTAATATCTTTGACATGGGGACATCTGACTTGAGCCAGGGTGGTCACAAGCATCACACATGCACCATGCCCTCAATGCTCCAATGCCTTGTTTGCATTTAACAAAGGAAAACAGATTTCTGCTGGTGTTTTGCTGAATCTTATGGACCAGTTTGGAGCTGTGCTATGAGAATTCTTTAGGCATAGTGAGAGCTTGGCAGGAGGAAGCCTGGCCAGAGGAATGGATGAAGGAAGGAGGCAAGGAGCCCCTTATCAGACTTTCTTGTGATGGTCACCTAGGGACATTCTAATACCTTGTGGTTATTTGGATGAGGAGTGGAAGGTTCAGGAGCAAGTGGATAGTCAGGAATGTCCTGGTTCCCGTATGCAGGCCAAGATGTTACACCTCACCTACTAAGGAGCCTCTGCACCATGGTCTTCTTTCAAGTTCTACTCAGTACACACCCAATGCATGTGACTTCTGAGTCCCCAGAACACATCAGACACCTACTCATGGGGTTCAGTGTGGGGCCTCAGCATGGGTGGGGCAGTTTGAAGGTAAATATGAGCTCAAACCAGCAGTTGCAGGTAGAATGGCCCAGAGGCAAGGGAAAGGAACATAGCTAAGAACGTGAGAATTTGCTGCAGGTGGACACAGGGGAAGGATGCAAGGCCTAGACTATGTTCTGTTCCATGTTCTCAGTGATGCATATGTGAAAATGAGTGAGTAGCCATCCCACAGGGCACTGTGAAGGAAAAGCATCAGAAAGCAAGGAGATTGGGATGAAAGAACAAGGAACTTGGCTAGACAGTACTGTGATAGTGAGAAAACAAAGACTCCTGGTAGCCAGGGGAGTCCAAGCTACATTTTAAAGAAGCTCTGGGTTTATTGTCTTGTGGCAAATTCAAGCCCAGAGAAGTCCATGACTTGCCAATAAATGACACCAAGACTGGGACTCCTTTACTGCAGTGTCTTATCATACTATGGGTTGACAATATGCCTCACTTTGGATATAGGGTCCTAGAAGACTTTGCCAGGGCAGATGAGGCTGTGAGGGTGGGCTCTAATTGAATTGGACTGTCTATTTGCAAAAGAGGACAAATGGGTACATGAATGAGAAGACATGTAGGCACATGCAGAAGAGAGGTATGGTTGACATGCATGTGAAGGCAACACTCAATGGGTGTGGATACACATGTATGGAGAGAAGACAATGTAGGTGTGGACATACATGTATGGAAAGAAGACCATGAACAAGCATGAATAGTAGGTCACACTAGTGCACACATGGGGAGAGAAGACTTTGCTGACATGTTTATGGAGGGAAGACCATGTAGAGAGATAGGGAAAAATTTGGCCATGCAGATACAGTCGAAATTGGTGGAATATGGTGGTAAGCCCAGGGTGCCAGGAGCCATAAGGAGTAGAGAGGCTATTGAAACATGATGTTACTCTGCCTATACTTTGATTTTGGGCTTTAGACCTGCAGACTCTGTGGCAATATGTCTAAATGTTCTAAGCCATCTTTAAGTGACACCTGTCACATCTGCTTTGAGAGAATGATGTTCTACATAGGGGAATTTTCCCAGGTCACATGGACTTTAAATAGATGAACTGTTATGTTCCCCCTTTAGAGACCAGAGTTAATAGGAGGGTTAGAGGTGAGAGGTGATGAGAGGGTCAAAGTCAGAGGACCACAGAGTCCCTTAGGATGTTAATGGGAGTGCAGAGGAAAGTGTGTCTAGGGACAGGTGGCAGCTACAGTCACCTGGGACCTGAGGAGGATGCAATAAGATTACACAGAGGTACTGCCTGGATGACTAGAGGCCTGGAGTCTTCCATGGCCTTGGCTTCACCACCCCGAAGAAAAGATGGGCTTGGTGTCCATACTGTTAAACATCATGCCATGGCTAGTGTACCCTGGAGTATGTGAAATGCAGCCAAAGTTGCCAGACACATGAATTCTAAATTTCCTTCCATTAATATTACAGTATCATCAGTTTCCTGGGTATGCTTTATCTAAGAAGGTGGTACCTAGAGTGCAAGCAGGATTCAGACAACTGAGATGTTGGCGTTCTTTTTTAGGAAGTGGATCTCCAGTTGGAAGACTCTGAAACCTACAATCATACTTACCAATAGGGGTCTCCTCAGAATGTGGAATGATGGACACCCCAAGACCTTGGGTAGTACTGATGGGCTATCTAGGGGTCTTTGAATTTGTAGGTCCCTCTGTCCTGACTGTGAAGAGCAGGCTCAGTGTCTCCAATTACCTTCAGCTGTTAAATGCTCTCAGAGAATAGGCAGGTTTGAACTTTTTAAAGTGCCTTTGGGCAGGCGAGATAATTTCATTCTCCCTTTGCTGCCTTCTGTAAATCCTTCAGAGAGAAGGAAATAACCCCATTATGGTCCCGCCTGGTTGTTCCCTTAAGCTGGCTGCAAGGAAGTGATGTGTGCCTGGCATTTGAGAGGCTGTGGCTGTACCCAAGATTTAGTGCAGGTGTCTTACCCGGGACCACGGCTGGGAGGAGACTGTCAGGATTAGATATAGGCGCCATTTTTGAACACAAATCGTCTGCCGTTGGGAAAGTCAAGGTGAATTCTACCATGGACTGTTTACGACTTCTTATGGCTTCTTTTATTTTCCTGTTTGGGGACCAAATGAAAGCTACTTGGCATGAAAAAAAAATTGTGGGTGTAGCGGGGAGGGAGTGCTGCTTCAAAGGGATTATAAGTGAGATACCTGGATTATGCCAGTGAATTTTAGGGGTAGCAGCAGTTTGGGGAAGCTCTGAGGAGAAGAAGGAAGCCTGAGCATGAAGTCACCAGTGTTCCAGAACTGGGTGTCTACCTGGCTGGACCCAGAGAGCTTGACTGCCCCTGGGAAGGGTTGATCAGTCTTTAAGGTCACACGTCACACAAACTAACATTCTGTTCCTCAACTTAATGGTCTACAGGTTAGACCTTCCCATAGACAACATGGCCTTCAGGATCTGGCTTAAGCATAGGTCACAGTTCAGGACCCAGGGGAAAGGTGACATTGTGGCCATTCTGATGACAGTGTCAGAGAGATCTTACCACTATAACTACTGGGTTTAGAGTCAGTTTCCTAATTGGAGGGCCATAGTCCATGAGGAATTGCCCAATGTAACTCTGTGTTCTTGCACCCTGAGCATTGAAGGCTCAGAGCTGCTGTCGGGAGGAATCAGAAACAAAATGGGGGTGGTCTTGGTGGATGGAGACCATGAATGCCAAATACTTTAGATCATAGGTCAGAGTTGACAAGGTGGTTCTTGTCATGCTCTTGAAGATTAATGAGGTTTTCACAAGCTATGGTTTGTGTTCCAATGCAGCAGTCAACTGGGCAAAAATCAGAATATGTTTTTGAACTCTCATTCCATATTTTCCACAGCATGTGCTAGATATTGATTTGCTTATTGATTTATTTTATTTGATTCTTGTTGTTAACAGATTTTACCAGAGTCAGAAAATTGTCCATGCTGTTATGTGCAGCACACAAGGTATTCTGAGAGAGTGGAGGGAGTAAGATTGGCTAAGGCAGGGAAGGATTCATTTAAGTCCACAAAAGTGGCTGTAAGGTTCTTGCTGTTTCCTGGGACACCTCTGCCCTTTGCATGGAACTTAACGCTCTGAAGTAACAGAGCCTTCCTGGCTGACAGCTCTAGACAGATGCCATTGCTGGCTGAGGGTCCACCTTGCCTGGTCTTGTGGAGCATGTGAGAGTTCAACTTAGCTTTGAGCAGCTTAGGAAGCAGGAACATAAGTTTCCTGCTGAGAACCCCTACTGCAGACTTTTTGCAGAAGCTTTACATTGTAGAATTTTCTTGACAAAACCAGTTTCTATTATTTCTACCCTCAAATCAAATGAGGTGCTTCCTTCACCTTTTGCTACCAAGGTTAGATTCTAAACACAGCTTTTTGTTTTACATTTTCCTCCCAAATCTTTTGGATGAGGGATGAGAGCAGCTGAGCTTAGGTCCCCAATGAAGAGCCAGCATAATGTCCCAGCAAGGCTCCATTGTCAGACTCTAAATGCACCTAATATTTTAAAAGCCACCAGGAAAATTGGTGTGCCCATTTGCCTACACACAGCAGTCCCTCCAGAGCTGTGTTCCAGATCTCTTAGGGCCCATCAGGGTGTGCATTACCCAGTGGCAGCCACATCCCAGGAGAGCCATATACAATCAACACACTTACTTGATTAACCTTTTTGATGAAAATGTATGTCATCAGCGTTTTCCATACGGGTTGATTATTGAGGACATCTTGAGCGCAATGACTTTGTACAACATTGAATGATCTTATTAGAGAAATTCTTCACAACAGTTAATGAGATGCTTCACCTCTGCCTGAATAACGACTGAGTGCATTTTATTTATTTGTTTTGAAACAGGTTTTGCCCGGCATCCTGCAGAAACATTGCTGCATCTTACCAGACAGGAACACAGGTAAGATCTGCTTCCTCCTTGTCTGCGGCCACAGGTTGTGTGTCAGTGACACAAAGCAACTTGATGCTTGAGGTAGATGTTGTTTGGACTTTTTGCAGGTGTGTTTGTGTATGTCATTATTTGATAACTGAAAGAGGTGCTGTGTTCAGCTACAAGTCGAGTTTAAATTTCTGTTTTTACTGACCAAAGAAATGGATTCAGATGTTTATAAACTTGGATTTTTAAGGGACATTGGCTTTTTTTTATATAAAAAAAATCAAGTTGTATATATCATCTCCAAAGCTGTTTTATTTGGTTATTATACTTACTTACTAAAAGCAGCTCTGATTATTTCTGGCTGGTTTGGGGTGTTTGGTGGCCATTGGCCATCAGAGTTTGGAGTCAGCCATATACATGTTCTTTGGGGTTTGGGGAAGTCAGGAAGGACTAGGGATATTGCAGTGGACACTTGTGTTATCCTGCAGCTTTTCATGCTGGATGGATGGTGTGGGCAGAGAATAAGTGCTCTGTGTTGCTTCTAAGGACATGTGATGGTGAGAAAGAGGGTTAAAAGCCATTTTGGAACTTGGTTGTTTTAACATTATAAATGAGATGTAAGATGTGCTATCTTGTTGGTCTGTGCTTTGATTATTCCATGAAGATAGCCTCTCACTGAAGTTATTTTCATCAAAATGAAAATCTCAGAATCCGAGGAGCAGGTTGTGAATGTGGCTGATACCTAGAAAGGGTTTTTCAGAGCTTGCATGTCCCTAAAATCCAGAGTTTCTCTGTATAATAGCCTTGGCTGTTCTGGAACTCACTTTGTAGACCAGGCTGGCCTTGTACTCAGATATCACCTGCTTCTGCCTCTCAAGTTCTGGGATTAAAGGTGTGCCCCACTACTCCAGGATATTTTTGTTGGGTATGAAACAGAGGTTTGTTTGCCTTCTATGAAGACACAGGGGCCTGCTCTGGTGAAATTTCCACTGGCACATTATACATATAAATAGGCATGACCACTGAGGGGTGAAAGTCCTGTTTATGTTGCATATTCAATGTAAACGCAAAGGTTTGGTGGATTTTCATTTCTTAAATAAGAAATGTGGATATATTTTGTTACCGATGCCATCCTTTTTCAAAGAGTTTGTTTCTTGCCACTGAGACATATTTGTATCTTATTTACTATATTTATAGAGAAACATACTTATAACATAGTTAGATATTATTTTAAGCCTGCATTTTCTGGCAGGCATGGTCAGTGTTGAAGATGCAGGACACGTACTGTGAAGAAGCCCAGTAATGAGGTGTGAGGAGGACCAGGGGCCAAGTCGCTTGTGCTGCCCTAATACTACAAGTATCCTCCAGGCAATGAAAATAAGCTGAGCTCTGGTGCATGAAGGTAGCAGTGGGTTTTGAGGACTGAGATGAGTTTTGGGTATTTTGAGACTCTTTGCTGTGTGCAAAGCTTCAAGTGAGTTTGGGAGATGTTTGCCATCTCAAGATTTTTTTTTCATTTCCTAAGAATGCTGCTTGTTGGCTCTAAGACCCAGGCAGACTGCCTACACTGAGCTTGGTGTTTCTGAATTAAACATGGCTGGTTTTGAAGTAATATATATCATTGATATGTCATTGTTTTGTCCTCATCTAATTGCTTGTGTTAAGTTTGGTGAATTTTGGAATTTGTTTACAGAAGAATTGAGGCACAAGTTCAGCATGTTTTTTTTTTTTTTTTTTTTTTTTTTTTTTTTTTTTGTTCTTATTGTTGGTTTTTTTTTCCCTTTGATGTTTTGCGAAGGGAAATCATAAGCATGAGGCTTTTTGAAACACAAAGGTAAATGCAATATTTCTTTGCCAGAACACACTGCTGCTGAGGTGTGGCGTGGTGGTAGAGTTTTCAGTATGTTTGTAGCCCTGGGTTTAATTCAGTTTTTCACTTTGAGACACTTTTTCCACTTTCAGTGATTTTAGTTATGAGACCTTTATTTTGCCTTTGGGTTGAGATCTATGTACCTTGTAAACCCAGCCCAACAGCTGTGTGCACTGGACCATGGTAGCTGCCAAGGTGGTCAAGGGCATCTCTATTGATACCTATGATTCCAGTTGCTGTCTTTGGCTCAAATATAGCCACATTTTGTTATAATTTGTACAATTGGCTCTCTCCTACCTTGAAACCCATTTTGGCAAAAGGATTACTAACTGGAGATGTCCTTGGCCACAACTTCTGGGGTACCACCTTTGTTTCACTTGGGGCTGGTGGGTCTTAGGTGGATGTAGACCCATAGAGCATGCTGACTTCTGGGTGATTTTACGAAGTTTTCTGAACAGCAGCTTTCTGACATACATCATCTTTGTAGTTTTATACGCAGCTCAGTCTTACCACTTTAAGCCATGGTTATCTCTTGTATTGCTTCAACACTTTATGCCCTTAACTTTGGGGGCATGGGAACTTTGATTCTGGATGTAGAAACTATTTAATCTTCTGCTGTTCTTCCATGTTCATGAGACTTGTACATCAGTTTCATATGGGGAAGATTAGGGAAGCTATCAGTGGCAACCAATGGGACATATTTCCCTTTTAGTGAGATACAGACAGGTCAAACGTTGGCAGCTGTTTAGTTCTCATCGTGTTTGTCAGCGGTTGTTTCAGTGTGGTCACGTGATCTTACAAAGTCTAAGGTGCTGTCAGCTGGGCTCTCACTTGACTCTGGCTTGGCTGCCTCAGGGTGCTTGTCTGTGTCCACCAGGAGACAGCCTGTTTTGCCACCAAGAATGAAGACATTTTGGGAACAGATTCATCTTGTAAAATGGCAAAATCATTCATTCCCCACAGGCCTTGACAACAACAAAGTGACAGGCCCTACACAGACCACACTCACAGGGAGATTGGGCTTTGGGCTGTATTTCATTCCAAAGTCACAGAAAGGTGACTGTGAAACGTCCCATAGAAGCTGAGTAAAAAGAGTTTTATGATCTTCTTCACACGTGTGTCCGCCATTCTTGTTTCTTTGCCTGTTCATAGTGGTATTCCTGGAACACCTGAGCACTTCTGACTCCGAGGTCACCTGACTGCCAGTGAGATGTTAGTCAACCAGCTTTCCCCACGGGGTGACACTGGGGAGGTGGGAACACCAGTTTCTGTGTTGCAAGTTCTCCTACCATGGCCAGTCCCCAGCTCTGCTAAAAGGTCCTTGGAAGAGACTGGAAGATGCCCTACTCTAATCAGTCCCTGGGTAGGTGGAGGGAGGCTGTTGTTTTTTGTACAGCCTTCCCAGGGTACTGATTGTGGTTGAACTTGGACTCCGTGTGGTGCAAATTGCTTAGTGTATTTGGGCTGAATGGAATCTTGGATTAAAACCTAATGTCTGAAATAGGATCTCTAATTTTACAATATCTACATGGGTTGAACAGATAGTTCTAAACATGCAGATATGTAGTATATATGCATTATTCCATAGGACTTCAGGGGTCTACAGGGCACTCAACTTAAATTATACATCATTAATCCATCCAAGGAACAGGAGGGCTGTTGAAATTAGAGTCACTGGTAGTCAACTTGCACTTTTAGTTCAGAAAACAGAGAGGACAGGTGTCTTTGTTGAGATGGCAGGAAAGGGTGGCAATTTTTCCATCTGTTAGGTTTCTCCTGAGCCGAAGGTTTCCAACAGCTTGTAATTTCACAGTGGAGAAATAAGGGGAAACCGATGAGTCAGTCCATTCTTTTCCCACAGCCTGTCTGCAGGGACATGACTTAAAGTGACTGGCGCCAGGGACAGTGAGTGCCCTGGCTCATTCAGATGTGGCAGTAATGCTGTTTCCTGGTGTTGTGGGGGATACCCTACATGGTGGTCTTGCAGTCCTCTAGTTTAGAGTTTTACATTAGCTTTGGCTACTGCTTGTGTAGGAAAGACACTGTCCTCTTCCAGCGATAAGCACACAGACCTCAGTTCCTGGTTTCCCTCCCACAGCTGCTGAGTGTTCTGCTGCGCTCACACAGCATCTCACTCCTCTCATTGTGTTGTTCTATGATGCTACAGGAACCTCAGGAAATCCTCACTATCTACGTGCTGCTTTCTGATCAAGTGCAGGGCAAAATGATGAGGATGGGCGATGTTGATGCTGTAGGAGGAGAGGGGCTGTGGGTGACTGGTGGGTGAGGCTCCTAGGATGTGTGCAACAAGTACTGTGTGTGCAAGTGTCCTGGAAGAGTTTGCTATGTACAGAGTGAACACGCACAGATACAGGGTAATGCCGTTTCATTTATAACAATCCTGGAATTCACTCTGTAGACCAGGTTGGCCTCGAACTCACTGAGATCCGTCTGCCTCTGCCTCCCAAGTGCTGGAACTAAAGGCATGTGCCACCATGTTATCTGTTGAAGGTTATTCTTTGAAAGGCCAAATGCTCCAAGTGACTTTTTTTTTTTTTACCCAGTTACTGCAATTATTTATACTTCCTTTTCAAAAAGGAATTGAGGTTTGTACAAATAGAATGCCATGTGATATGATTCATAAACTAAGAATACTGAGCACTGAGCTAAATGGAGAAAGTAAATGGCATAAGCTGTGGAGATTTGCCTTCTCTTGTCTCTTAACACTGCTGTCCTTGAGTGAGCAGAGTGCCCAGTTTCCATCCGCCAGCCAATGACAGAAGGAAATCCTCTCATGCATCCAAGGGCTTAATTTCATAAACTGAAAATGACTTCATTAGAATATTGTTTGTGATACAAAATTAAAGCCAGAATGTATGGCTATAGGCCAATAGTTTTAGAACTAAAATTGCTTTATGTAATGTGGCTTTCCTTCACCTATAGGCTCTCAATTGTGTATTAGGTGGCAGTTTTTCATTAAAGTGGATAACTGTGCATCCCAACAGAAATGCATCCCAGAGTGAACCGTGTCCAGCCCCATCCCTGCAATGGTCTCCTGTATGGAGCCTGAGATGTTGACCCCCACGGAACTGTGGTCCCTTAGGTTCCTTGGTGTGGAGGTGAGAAGGCATGAGGCCCAAGGCCAGATGCTCTT